TCTTTGACTTAGCTAAAGACTATTTTGCCTGGAGAAGAGACTTCTCTGTGGGGGTTGGTTGGGGAGATCTTCAAGGCATCTGTGAGATTCCCAAAGCAACCCAAGGTAGAAATCAGTTGCCTGATACCCTCTCCTGCCTTGTCCATCCACATCTTCCCAGATGGATCAAGTTGGCACCTTCCTTGATCTCAAAAAGAAAATGGTTTTCTTAGTTCCTCAGAAAACTCAAAGTTGAGATTGATTTTAATTGGTGATTAAATCAAGAGCATCTTGGGGAATTCAAGCACTTCTGACAGCCTGACAGCCCGACTTTGCAGGAAGCCAGATTCTCCAGACCCACCATGTGTTGAAATGACATTTTAGCTACAAAGGTCTAATTTGGGGGAAGTTTTTGTTTGTTTGTAAATTCACACTTTGTGCATGTTAATAGTACGTGGGCTTCACGTGTCTGCAGAAGACAACAACACTTTTTCTTATGGAAGCAGTAGCATCTCCTCCCAATCAATTTTCTTTTTATGCTGGGAACATTTACAGGGGTGGGGAACCTTCGGCTGCCTCATTTAGGACAAATATTGCTTATTGTGTCAAGATTAAAACACTTCTGCTTCCATTCAAGGCCCTCCAAAGTGTGGTGTCACTCTACTTATCACAGAATCACAGAGCTGGAGACCTCAGCAGTCACTTGGCTTAATTCAGACATGAAGAATAATTCTCTGTATGATATCCCCAACACAGGGTCCCACTGTGGAGCAGCTCTTATCATTAGGAAAGTTTTCCTGATATCAGGACTCGTCTGCCCAACACTCCTAATTCAGCCTTCTGGGAGCAAAAACAAACCTGATCCCCTTTGCCATGATAGCCCCCCCCCAGTAATAATAACAACGATAATAATCTAACATTTATATAGTGCTCACGACACGCCAGGCATTGAGCTAAGCGCTCTACAATTATCATCTCATTTGATTGTCACAACAACCCTGAGGTAGGTGCTCTTATGATTCCCATTTTACAGACAAGGAAACTGAGGCAAACAGAAGTGACTGCCCAGGATGATCACACAGCTAGTAAGTGTTGGAGGCTGGATTTGAACTCAGGTCTTCCTGACTCCAGGCCCACCACTCTATCCACTGCAACATCTATCTGCCTGGAGCGCTCGAGGTCAGCAAGGCTCTGAAATGACCAGAGCGCACTCAAGACTGAGAGAAACTGCCTCCACAATGCAGGCCTGTTCACGGGCAGTTCCCACATTCACCACAAGAGGCTGCTAGAGGCTGCTCCGGCTTGCCAAGCCCTTCTGAAAGGCAGCCCCAAAGCTGGGGGCTTCGAAGCCAGCACGGCTTAGACACGGCTGAGCCCCAGGCTCAAGGTCTTCTGCTTCTCAGCATTAACAAATCTAACCTCTAACAAAAAAGCTGGTCTGAGGACAACAAAGAGAGAGGAGGCACAGCCCAGGGAGCAAGAGCTTCTGAGAGCCCGTGAGGCTGAGAGCCTTCCTCGCCACGAACCTTAGGGCGAGGGTTATTAACCCCATTTTACAGATGAGGAAGAGGTGGTACAGAAAGGCGGGGCGATTTTCCAGGATTGTACAGTCAACAAATCGACGGGCATTTACTGAACACTTACTGTGGGCCAGGCAGAATCAGACCCAAAGCTGTCTCCGGGTAAAGCAGCAAAGCTAAGACCCCTCAGTCAAAACTCACTCATTGCATTTCCAAAGCTACAAAGCGGCTGGACAGCAGTATGAATGCAAGTACACGTGACTATCCCCCAGGCCTGGCGTGCTCTGGTCCTCTCTTCCCCTCCTGTTTCCCCGGCTTCCGTCAAGGCTACCATCACAGGGAGGGATCTTTCTGTTTCCTTTTGTTCTAACATTAGAACAACCAGTCAAGTACACAAAATGAAGTCAAGCAGAGACCTGGGTTCTAATACCGGCACCTTCATTCACCAGTTCTGCGACCCTAATCAAGCCAGTCCATCGCTCTGAGCTTGCTTTTTCCTATGGAAAAAGTAGAAATGTAATACTTGCACCACTAATCAGCACACATTTATTAAGTGCCAGTTGCGTGCCCACCACTGGGCAAGGTCTCCACTCACAAGGAGCTCACATTCTAGCAGCAAAGGGCTCCAGGAATCTTAAACCACGATGGAAAGAGGAAGTATTCTTTCTTCTTCCCTTACTAGGCCCTCATCTTCAAAGCCTATTTCCTTGCCTTCCAAAACTCCATTTACTAGTCCTCCCACATCAGTGGTTTAAGGCCAAAGCCATTCCACCAATTATTAGAAAAGCTAAATTGTTCCTGGCCGGGGGGGTGGCGGGGGTAGATACATCAATTACTTTCCTGAGAATCAGCTGGATAAATTCCAAATTGCAAATGCATATGGAAAGTTAGTTAAGCATGACAGAGGACCATGAGCAGTGGCCTCTGCTGAGCATAGTGGTTATTATCATTTTTGTAGATTCAGAAAATCACCCATTAGCTGGAGGTTACTGGGGACAGAAAAAAAAAAAGATAATCTCATTTAAAAAAACCTGAATGAAGTAGAAATAGATCCGTGGATAAGCCCTTTACCCCACCCCACCCCCAACACACACACACACACACACACACACACACACACACCTGGTTATCTGCTCTATGTCCTTACCTCCATGCATCAAGCATCCATGACTTCATTGGCCTGGGGGGCTGAGAGCCTCATAACTCTCTGCAACTTAGATGGCAGCCAGTGAACTTACCTGCAGTTTAGCACTGGTCCCACCCATCCTGAAAGTCCTCTGAGCTTAGCATGACCAGCCAGAGCACATACTCTGTGGGCCAAGACTTCAAGAACCCAGAGGTGCGTCTATACCTCAATAAGTCATCAAGGAAGACGTTAGTAGATCCATTACTTTTTCATTTGAAACTAAACCCAGGGTGGTTTTATTAGTGTAAGGAATTCCTGAAGAGGAAACTCCCTCCATCACGCAAATGTATACATGGGCACTTTCTCTGCAATTCATACATAGTCGTCGAAATTTGCTCGGGTCACTTAAAAACTAAGGGATTTGCCCAGGGTCCCTCAGCCTTTAACCCAGAACTTCTTGACAGTGAGGCCAGCTAGTTACCTACTATTCACTACAACATCTTTACATACAAAAGGAGGTTTGAAATCACAACCACATTCCTCAAGTACCAGCTCCTCAATTTTAACCCCCAAACTACGTTTCCCTCATTTTAAAAAGAGCATTGAAATCTTAAGATCATAGGTCTTAGTGCTAAAACAGATATCAGAGGTCATTTAGCACAAACTCTTCATTTTACAGAAAAAGAAACTGAGGCCCAAAGAGGTTAAGTGATTTGGCCAGTGTCACACAAGTAGCAAGTGACCAAGCTGGGACTGGAGCGCAGGTGCCATGACTCCAAGTCCAGTATTTTTTCCACGGTGCCACACCACAGGTTGCAGGCAATTGATGTAGAAACACAACTCTTTCTTCTCAGCAGAGAGGTGGTGGAAACATGTGAGGAATGTCACTTATACTTGTCGATTTCAGCCACTGTACCAAGATGGCTTCTTAACCAGTTTGTTTTCCATTGTTGTAATACGGAGGGCAGAGATTACTAGAAAATGGTTTCAGTTTCGAAAAAATAGGAACAAAAGTTTTTAAAGGTACACTTAACGGTCAGGAGTAGCCTCTGTCCTATCAGAAGTCACTCTCCCACTGCAAGAGGTGAAACTTTCAGAAATGAAAGAGCAAACTAGACTGTTTTTTTTAAAAGCCTTTATTTCCTTCACCATTATTGTTTTACAATACAAATATCACCTTGTGAATACACAAAAAAAAAAAACCCTACAGAAGAGAATTCTGCTGCACGTAAAATACAGAATGGATATATAGACTTCTTCATTCTTAAAAAACTAGTTTGTTCTGCACGTTGGCAAGGATAGGATAGAATACCTCCCCAAACCAGTGTCTGGCCAGAGTGAGACTTAGAGTTACATGCAGTTTCTGCACAAATATATTTTAAAGAAATACACACACCTCTCATTCTTTTTGTTGTTATTTGGCCAACCGCATGGTCAGGAGGAAGGGCATACTGATTTGCTACGTTCAAGTTTTCAAACTAGATCATTTGCAAACCCTTCCTAGAAAAAGGGAATGGATTCATGGCTGCTCTTACGGCCTCTTTAAAATCCAGCTACCAAAGAGACAATGAAAGAATTCAAGGAAGACCCATCTCTGTTACCTGGTCACAGCGGGCGAACAGGTACAGGCACAAGAATGTGTCCCTTCCCTAGTCTTCGAGTCATAGCAATTTCATCACCACAAGGAGACTTTGATTCATTTTAGTCATGTATAATTGAGTCATGTATACAGATCATCGTGGCTTTGTGGAATACTTTTATTTCAAATAAAAACATTGAAGATCGCCTACTGACCATACAATCAAGACAAGAAAGGCACTAGAAACATGGACAAATCTTCCTGCCAAGAAGCACTTTTAAGTATTCACTCTCCTCTCTCTGACATGTAAAAATCTTTAAATTTAGATTTCATAGTCATCTTGAAAAATAAAGTTAGGAAATACTTAGAAAATCACTTTACAACAGAATCTGTGGTTTGTTGGTGGTTTTTTTTTGCACTTTTTTTGACACCATCACTGCTGATTTTTACAAAATCAAAAGTTACCAAACCTTTCCGCGTCTACCTTTTTTAAATTTTTTCACTTGACTATCAGCACAACAGGTCGAAAGAGCTCTGAATGGAATTCCGTTCAGGTGCTTAGAAACCTTCATATAGACGTTTGCTAGAAAATGGCTTACAGCCCAATCTTTGGGGCAAAGAGATATGAAAAGTATGTTTTCCCAAGAAAATAATACGCTTTATTTCCAGGCAGGGCTGGAAAGACCAGAACTGAGGATATAAAAGCTTATGTTGATGCTGCCGCATCATATACAAAGGAGCATGGTCATGGGTTATGTAAATCCCCAAGCTATCAACAAGAAATGCATACAGTGCATGATAAGTTAAGTTCTCTTTATTGTTGTCCAACGCAGGTCCTTTGGAGAGAAAAAGAAAGATCACAGTGCTGACCAGGTAACTCACTAGGTTAAGTCAAGGTAACTGTTGAAAGATCAAAGGATTAGGGAGGCTAGATTTTATGGCGATTTCTCTCGTGGAGTCCTAAGTACTTTGGACAGCTCCTCATGTATCATTGACCAAACGACTGTATTTCACTTGTCTACTGAGGTGGACCACAGGCCAGGGGAAAGGCCAGTGATAAGATCGAGGTACAATTCCTTGGACATTCTTTTCAAAGTACTGGAAGGGCTTATACCACCACACTCTTGCCAGGAGGTTCATTTGGGAAGCTTCTTTTAGCACCTGAAATAACAAAGAAGGAGGTGGTCAGGTCTAGAAATGCAATTCACCCATCCCTTGCATGACCTGGTTTCACCCTGGCCTTACTCTTAGCTATAAGTCCCCATCCTGAGATCCACATGTGCAGAACCTATCTATGACAAACATAAGGAGGCAAAGGAAATTCCATTAATTCTTTCAGTGATTGGCCAGAAATATTACACCAGCCCTCTAGGCAACAGAGCTTCCCTGAAAGTTGAAGTTGGAGCTAGAAGCAATCAACCACCGAATACTCATTTATTAAGCACTGGCTGTCTACTCCAACCCTCTCATCTAATAAAAGAGGAAAAAGGGAACCTAGGAAGGGAAGAGCTCACCCAAGGTCACCCAGCTGATGCCAGAGCTGGAATAAAAAACTACGTCATCTACCTTTAAAGCCAACACTCTTTCCACTACGCCATTGGAGAAGACTGGGGTCCAGACAGGAGATGAGACTATGAGGGGGTCAGACAGCTAAGCTAGGTCTCGAATCCAGATCTCCCAAACCCAAGACCAGTGTCCTTTCTTCCACACCACTTGCCTCCCATTTCGTTGTGACTCTCTTTTAAGGGGGATGTCGTCTAGGCCTTAAGAACCCCAAGGGGCACTAAACCAGGAGCAGGGGTTGGGACAGGGGCGAATCACGACTTACTTGCTGATTAGCCATCGTGTGATACCACCAGAAAAGTCTGGTAGTGATGTAGTAGGCCACCACGACATCCACAGTGTAGTGTTCATGTGCCAGGAGGATACAGAAGACCCCGGAGAAGCTGAGAACCCAGCAGAACCAATGGTACCACCACAGTCGCCGAGGGGAATCTGGAACGAGCAGAAAGCCTCCACGGTCACACAGCCCAACACTGTCCCACCACAGCTAAGCCTCGTGCCAGCAGCAATCACGGAACCCAAACCCAGTAGGCCACAACCTTCCTCCTCCCCTGGCTTATCGATGCGTCAACTCAGAACAAAAAGAGATTATTGGTGGGATCTTAGGGCTGTAGATTTACAGCTGGAAGGGATCTCAGAGGCAGTGCCATCCAATGCAAAGACACCAAAGTCATTCATGCTTTTTAAAAACATGAATTAAAAAAAAAAACATAAAAATTAAAAAACATGAGTGACAAATAACATTTTTCCACGGACAACTAAGGAGTCTACAGATGCATTTTGGGGGCCCATCAGACTGGATGGGAAAAAATTACATCTTAATTTTACTGTCTCTAAAATTTAGCACATCCTTCAATTATGAAGGAAGGCAAGAAAATACTATTCTAAGGAGGGCTTTGTAGACTTCATCAGACTGTCAAAGGGGTCCACAGCACAAAACCCATTAAGACTCCAGATATGACGGATCAACTATTTAGTCAGCAGGGTGGTGCAGTGGACAGAGGGCTGGAATTGGATCAGGATGGCCTCAGTCCGAAAGCTGTCCCAGACACTCACTAACTGTGGTGACCACGGGCAAGCATTTAACTTCTCTGGCCCTCGATCCCTCCCCTGTAAAATGGGGATAACAACAGCACCAACCTCCCAGGGTTTCTGTGAGGACTTAAGGAGATAAGTTATGGAAATCGTTTCACGGTGCTAGGTACATGCCAGCTATCAGCATCACTGTCCCTGCTGCTGGTGCTAACATTAGAAAAGATCACTGGATTTGGGATGAGAAGACCTGCAAACCTCTGAATTCTGCCCTTGCAGAATTTCCCGTTCAACAGTTTCCTCTTCCACAAACTGAGGGCGTGGGGGTGGATCTGCCAGCCTCTGAGGTCCCTTCTAGCCCTGGCCCTACAATATTACAAAGTGTTTCACTGTCCCAGTACTTAGCAAAGTGCCTGGCACACATTAGGGGCTTAATAATTGTTTGCTGATTGAATGATTGACATTTCATAGATTTGGGGAAATTGGGGCTCGGAGAGAAGGGAGCACTGACCTTACTAGGGTTTGAACCCAGTCTCTTGGACCTAAAATCAAACCCCCTTTTCATTTTTCCCTGCTGCACATTCAGGCTACCCATTATAATCAGTCTTTAAATAGCTGTCTGGGTTTGATCAAACAAGGAGAATTGCTGCCGTGACTCCATTTAGGCCCGGCCACGGGCATTTAATTAATTTTCCTCATACCTCAATGGAAGTAACTGGATTGCCTTTCACTACACTGTGGAGCCAATGTTCCATACAGACATCACTGTCTGCTGCTCTGGGCACACGTGCTTATGCAGATGTCGACACATATCAAACAGCTCTGTCTGCTCTGGCATCAAAGGCTGTGGAGAGGGGTCCCCAGGGGTCCCCTTCCTCCCCCAAGTCTCCTTGTTTGTGCTGAGAACATCCTCATCCCTCAGGAAGCGAGGTTTGTGTCTCAGGCAGTGTCCCTGACTCTTCTTCCCCCTCTGCCCTTCAGCCAATGAACTGTCAGGCCAAGGTGATGCAGCCTCAACATCTCCTCCACCTTTCCTCTCCTCTCCCTCCACGCAGCAGCAGCTCCCATGCCGGCCACATCCTTCATGTGCAAAATGAAGGGGTCGGGCCCGATGACCTTCCTGGTCTCCTCCAGATCTAAATCGATGTTCCAGTAACCCCATGAAGCAGGAATGAATGAATGAATATTGTGTGCAAAGCACTACGTGAGCATCGCTACCGCCATGTTACAGAGGAGGAAATACCTAGGTTACTGCAACCGTCCCCAAAGCGGTCTCTTCACTGAGCTGCCTCCTCCCTCTTAAATCCATCCTCTAGAAGTGGATAAGTCCATATCCCTAAAGCTTTTATTGGATTACTTCACTTCCTGGCTCAAGAAGCTTCACGTCTCCCTGCTAGCTCTAGGATACAACAGGAGCTGCTCTATTTGGCACTGAAAAGCCTGGAACATACTTGTAGGCTCATCACCCATGAATTCCGCCATGTTCTCTCTGCTCCATGCCATCAGGCTGATTTGCTGTTCCTCATATATGAGAAGAGGTAGTGAGTACCCAAGGAGAGCAAGCAGCCCAGCTTACCACTGTCCCTTAGTACCTGGAAGGACCGACCCTCATCGTCCTCATCCTCCATTCACAATTAGGCTTTGCTGTCAGGAGTCATGCTGGATAAAGCGTAATTCAACTTGCAATGACGGCACATCTTAGGGTCATAGCCTGTCTGCCACATCTAAGACAAGTGTTGGGCTAATCTGAGAGTCTCAGTGTGGACAGAACTAGGTTCAACCCAGTGCAGCCCCCAGCAGCAAAGCCTAATCATGCATGGAAGACACTTAGGACCGCTCCTTCCAGGCACTACGGGCCCCTCTCTTCCTGTGTCTCTGGTCTTTTCTCTTTTCCAACCACAAAAGGAGCTGATGTTGGACTTGGTCTGCTTGCTCTCCACATCTCCCGTGGCAGCAGCCCCCAGGAATAATTAGTCTTGTTGTCAGCTTGCCCCATCTATTCCTCAATTCCACGCCACGCATGAGAGAGGATGGCGCCCGGAGAGATAAAGCCTGCCATGGGGAAGTGAGCACTGGATAGCCATTATCCAACCCGGACACTAGTCTCAGACTTTCCCTAACCTCTCGGGTATTCTCCCAGGCACACACTGTGGGTCAAGTCAGCTCAAAAAGGACCCAAATGGACAGAAGAGTAGCTTTGGACTTACACTCTTTGATAAATAAGTAAGTCAGGGTTAACATGACTGTATGGCCACTGTACAGATAGTCTCCACACATTTTATGGGCGCCTGTGATAGACAGGCCACCCCCAGCTATCATCTTCATGATCCTCCGCAGATGAGCTTCCCAGTCTCCGAAAAGCTGCCAGGAAAGAGAAACAAGGGGCGTCAGTTCATGTTAATCCATTTACATTCCTTTTCTTCCACTCAAAAAACACAAAACAGTTACTAGAGGGAAAACACAGGGCACTATATTGACTTCACTATAAGGCAATCAATTAATAAGCATTTATTAAGGGCCGACCGTGTGCCAGGCCTTGGGGGTACAAGGACAAGAATGGGACGGTCCCTTCTCTCACAGGGAGGAGAAAACAAGCACACAAATCAGTATGTACAAGGAGAACATGCAAGATAATGAAGTAATTTTGGGAAGGAGGGCACTACGAATTGGTGGGAGAAGGGGGCAGCTGAGCTGAGTCTGGAAGGGACCCAGAGATTCTGAGACTCTACCCCTTCATCCCCAAACCCAGTTTTCTGCCCCGCACACATGTATCTGCTCACATCTCCATGCTCAGAAATCCTGGGTGGCTCTCTACTGCCTACTGAATAAATAATGTCTTGAAATTCAGATCTCCAGACTTTTCAATGCTCCTCAACCCAAAGTATTCTGGACCACCCTCAGGATGGCCCTTCATTCCCTGGGTTTGTATTCCTAGCACTAGCAGAGTATAGGCACTTAAGGAATACTTGTTGATGATCCACGGTGAAGGGTCTTGAGTTCCCACCGAAGGACGCCTGGCAAAGGAGCCGCATACAAAATTACCTTGTATCTATCTGAGGGACATTCAGGCTAGAGAAGAGAAAACTAAACGGCAGCTGTCTTCAAGAATCTGAAAGGTTGTCATGTAGAAGAGGAATCAGACTTATTCTTTTAAGCCCCAGAGGGCCAGATCAGGCGCAGTGGGCAATGTTGCAAAGAGGCTCATTCAGCCTCGATGTCAGGAGAAATTGTCTAAGAACCGAGAGCTCTTGTGGGCTTCCACTGGACAACCTTGAGCAAAGGCTGAACGTCTGTCAGGGACGCCATGCCAAGGAACCTTGTTCGGCTATGGGCTAGCCCCTAAACTGTGAGCTTCTATACTACCTTCCCAACCTTACCTTATTACTTTTCCTCGCGCTATACACTATGCTCCAGCCAGTGTGATCAATAAACACTCTAGGTCAGGGCTGGGGAACCTGCTCTAGGTTTTACTGCCTCAGTCTCTTTGCTCACACTGTTCCGCTACCACCTTCGTGCCTTTGTGTAGCCCCTGCCCCAGGTTTGGAACGATCTCCCTTCCCACTCACACCTCCGGCTCCCTTCTTGGCTCAGTTTAGGAGTCACCTGCTCTGTGAAGCCCTTCCTGACCCATTTACCCCCCTCATTTTAGTGGCACCCCCAAAATCGTCTTTGTACCCCAGCGCCTGACATACAGCAGGTACATAATAGATGCTCACCGCATTGAACTATACCTAGAATGCCCTCCCTCAGCCTTCTCCCTTGTTAATACCTAGGCATTATACTGTCGGGCTCAGTTGCTGTGTTGGTCGGTTTTGCCGAACTGCTTTTTCCGTCCCTCTTTCTTTGTGATTCTTTGTTACGAGGGAGGGCTTGATGGGTAAGAAAAGCGGGAGGGGAGAGATAGACTGGGAAATAAAAGTCACATAGAGGCAAAGAGGTCAGTAAAATGAAAAAATATTCTAAAAGAAACAAACGTGGGGAGGTAATTCTACGCATCCCTCAGGGTCACACCGCAGGACTGATGAAGCCAGAGCCGGAGGGGTCAGAGGCCACCTCACCCAATGCCCTCATTGCACCGATGCAATCCTGCTACACCGGCCTCCCAGCATTCCTCACACACAGCGCACTATCTCCCATCTCCACACTGGCTGTCTCTCATGCCTAGAACGCTCACCCCACTCCCCTCCACAGCTCCCTTTAAGACTCAAGTCAATCTTCATCTTTTGCAGAAGTTCCCCTGCCATCCCATCCCCCCCATACCCTCCCCTGCTGGTCCATTCCCTCCACAGGATCAGGGACTGTCTTACTTCAACTCTGTACCCATTCTCAGTGTCCAGAGCAGCACTCTGCACACAGTAGGTGCTTACTGGATACCGGCCAAATGGAATCATTTTCTTCTTACAGGCAGCCACCATCAATGGCTTTCTATCCTCTGAAAGCAGGACAGAACTAGCCTTTCCAATGTTGCATAAGCTCCTTAAGCACTTTATTGAACACCTTCCAATCAATGTTTACCCATCTGGGTCACCGAAAAGGTCAAGACTCTGAGCTGGAAGGGATGGTAGAGGTCACAGCCTCATCTTCTACCCCCTCATTTGACAGGTGAGGAAACCAGGGTCCAGAGAGGAAACTGACTGACCCAAAGTCACCAAGGTTCTGGATTCAAATTCTGTCTCTGATGCTTTCTTTAATCTCCTGAGATTAATTGTAAAATGAGAGGTTTGGACTAGAATCCTCTGGGACCCCTTCCAGATCCTTTTCTTATGACCTCTCCGGGCCTCAGTTTCTTTATCTGTAAAATTAGGGGGTGGGACTAAGGCAAAGGTCCTTTCCAGTTCTTGACTGACGCTTCAATCTGACAGTCTCTTCACAGTCAACCAGCACTTATTAAGTACTTACTGTATGCTGGACGGTGTGAGAAGCAAAGGGGACACAAAAACAAAAACCCAAATCTGAAAGTTCTCGCCCTGAAGGAGCTACATTGTAACGTGGAGGTCAGTGAGTCCTTGAAAGGCACGGACAAAACAGGCACAAAAAGAACTCAAGGTTGTCTGAAGACATCAGGAAGAAGGCAGTACTCCAGGTGCAGAGAAAAGGATGTAAGGCACCTCGGGCACGGGGCACAGAGCAAAGACACAGCGACCGGAGGAAGGTTGAACGTGCCACTAGGTGGCGCCATGGTGCCACACTGGCCCTGGAGTCAGGAACCCAAGGACAAATCCGGCCTCAGACACTCACTGAGTGACCCCTGGGCAAGTTACTGCTATAACAACAACAACAACAATAATAATAGCAACACTACTACCTCTGTTTGCCTCAGCTTCCTCATCTGTAAAGTGGGGATAACAACAGCACCAACTGTGCAACCCCGGGTTGCTGTGAGCATCCCATGGGTAAAGCACAGCAACATAAATGTTAGCAGTTATCAGCCAATGTTATTATTTGCAGAACGTCAAGGAGGAGTTTTTAAAAATACGTAAGAGTGGCGCTGGACAGAAACTCTTTAAAAAGCAAACCTCGCTGGGGCTATTCAAAAATAAAGCACCAGCGAGGAGGCCGGTGCTGCTGGAACACCAAGGGCGGTGAGGCGAGAGCCAAGTACAGGGATCCTGGGGGAAAGGAAGGTCCAGGCTGGGACGACCTTTAAATGCAAAAGAGAGGACTGTGTGGTTGCGACCCTAGAGGTCATGGGAGCCACAGAAGGCGGAGATGGGAGGGAGGCACAACGGCAGCAGGGCATGATCAGATCTGCTCTTTAGGAACAGCTCTGGTTACTGTGTATAGAGGACAAGGGGGAGTGGGGACAGGCTGGAGGCAGCAAGACCAGTTAGGAGGCTAACTGCGGTAATCAAGCCATCCTTCTTAAAGGAGGCAGGACTCAAGGCCATTTTCCATGCAGGAAGGACCTAGGGGCTTGGGGAAATCTCTCTTTGTACCTACTGTCACAGCTACCGGGGGAAAAAATGGGATTTTCTTTCTTTTCTGTTGATATAATGGTATCTATAAAACCCAGATGTCCCCGTCACAAGTGAGGGATCATTAGTTAAACAGGCTAACATCTCACTCCCCAGAGCAGGGTATGGCAAGCTCACCAGTGCTCTGGGAAGGAGCAAAACTAATCCTGTTACGTGTGCATGGCCTGCAGCTTGCTTCAAATGGTGGACAGTTCCAGCACTTAGCTAGAAGCAATGCTTGGCAGCAAGCCTCACTTATTTCACTATTCTGGGCACTGTCAAAATGTGGGGGACGGCTGAACAAACATGGATGTGACAGAACAGTGCTGCGTTCTACGAATGATTAATAAAAATGACGAATCCAGAGAAACGTGGGAAGATTCCTAAAAACTGATGCAGAACCAGGAAACCTACATCCATAAAAGACAGCAACCATGGAAATGGACAGAACAGGAAAAAACAAAAACAAAACCCCTGAACATTACGTGGTTACACTGACCAAGTCTGGCCCCGGAGAACATCTGGATGAACGCCCCTTCCTTCCTTTGCAGAGGTAGGTGACTGTGGGTTTGGAACGCCAAGTGCACGGCCAGACTGCATGGATGACTTGGTTTGTTGGCTAAAAAAATTGTTTTTCATTTTTCCTCTCCTTTCATTCATTCTAACAGGGCGTGGCTTTCTGGGTCAGGGAAAGGAAGGAATATATTCAGAAATAAAGGGAATGTAAAAGTAAAATCTATCAGTAAAAATTTGACGCTCTCCCTGAGTCCTAACAGAGCCCCAGGGGGGATAACATATAGAATGTAAGCTCCCTGAGGGCAAGGATTGTATAATTTTTTGTCTTTGTATCTCTAGCACCCAGCACAGTGAATGGCACATAGTAGGTGCTTAATCCAAATGCTTACTGATGGAATGGTATAGACAAGAATTATTTTTTTAATGACCCAAAAGAGTCTTTACCTTTAATGGGCTCTGCTTGCATTCCTTCCAATAACCAATCAACAGCTCAGGCTTCATCACCCAAAGAAGCCCCAAAAGTCAGAGCAGGAAGACCTGAGTTCAAATCCGGCATCAGACCAAATACTTCCCACTTACTAGCTGTGTAACCTTGGGCAAGTCACTTAACCCCAATTGTGCAAAAAAAAAAAAAAGTTAAAAAAAGTCAGAGTAGGATGACAAACACTGAGCTAGAGCTGGCTGATCAGCAAACATGTAATAAGCACCTACTGCGTGCCAGGCACCACGCCAGCCACAGCGGAGATACAGGGACAAAGAGTGAAGCACTCCCTAGTCTTCCCGAGGAGCTCACCGTCTCACGGAGCAAGCACGCATGTTCAAGCAGAAACAGCAGAAGGATAAAATGAAGGAATACGAGTACATACAGGGGATCTTTAGAGGTCTCGCTCCTGCTCAGACTCCCAAGAATCGAGAGGACATTTGAGAGGCCTGGCCAAGCCATACTCATGAACAGCAGCGCCACAAAAGAATGCCGAATTTGGACCCCCAGGACCCACCTCGCTAGCCTATGGCTGGGCTCACAGCAGGCACTTAATACTTGATCAATCAGACTGAATGTGCCTGCTCCAGCTCTTACACCCTCCAGTTCCCTTCAAAGCTCAACTCATGCATTCTCTTCTATATGAGGTTTTTCCTGACACCCTCATAGCTATTCCCTCACCCCCAAATGATTTGTTACGTTTGGAATAGAAGTCCAGGTTGTCTCTCCTGGCTAGAATGTAAGCTCCTTGAGGGCAAGGACTGTCTTTGTATCCCTACCCCTTAACACAGTGCTTGGCACACATTAAGTGCTAAATGAATGTCTGCCTAACTTACATTACCTTTACGTGTGTATATGTGTGTGTGTGTGTGTGTGTGTGCATGCACGCGCGCGCGTATATGTGTACCATCCCTACTGGACTTTTTTGGAAGCAAAGGTCCTGGATGCACCGCCCTTGGTGCCTAGCACTGCCCTTACAGAGCAGGCATTTAACAAGTGTTGAAAGAATGTCTGCCTGGTTAATTTTACTCTTCTGGAAGGAGGAGGTGGCTTGTGAAAAGGCGGCTGGCGCGTGGTATCCTACCCTAATCTTGGGCCATATTTGTCAAGGTGAAATGACTCTTGTGACAATTGCTGGGAAGATTGCAGCTATGACAAAGGATGCCTCACAACTTCTGTATGTAAATGGCAGCCCCCTAAAACAAAGAGAAAAGTCCATTTTCAGGAAGAGGGTTGACGTTTTCTTTCAATTCCCTGAGAGGACAGGCCAAGAGATTGTCAGCCACTTCACTTGCAACGTCGAAAGACATGCCCTCCAAATTCCTACTTCCTCCTGCAAAGGGAAGGGGACCAAGAGCTAAAGTCAGAGTGACCCCCCAAGCAAAATACTGAGTCAGCTGTGGGGCCGAGGAGGAACCTCCCACTAGAGGCTTTGGCCCAGGCCTGAACTCCACTCCAGCCCATCACTGACCCAGTGATCACTCCCTCATTCAGGCTGAGGACTGTCAAGGGTCTTTGCTCTCTGGCTTTCTTCTGCTTCTGCCTCTGCTAACGTCTTCCAGCTGTCCCCCGCTCTTCAGCACCCCAGGCACAAGAAGGCAGAGATCAGAAACTAAGGTCCAACATTACCACAACTGGACAGTTTTGGTCAAAAATCTGGCTTCTGAGGCCTCAAAAACTAAAAGCAAAAGCAAGGTTTCCGGATTAAAGATGGAGCTCGCTTACCCATGTTCTCCACATCCCCAATCGGAACAGGTTCCAGACTTGGTTCCGTGGTAAAATTCCTCAGACAGACCAAGGTACTTGACAAAGTTGGTGACGGCTCATTAAAACCTGCAGGGACAGCCAGAAGCCACTGGGGTCATGAGGCAAAGCCATCACCAGGACAGCACTGTCCCAGGGACCCTGGACAGCAACTGCCCCCAATGGAAGCAAAGCCTCTTGACAAAGCTAACAGCATCAGAGCTTGAAGGGATGTTAGAAGAATGAACACAGAACACAGAATGAAGGAACATGGGAATACAGAGTGTGGGAACCAGAAGGGAACTTAACACACCGAACGTAAGAGCTGACAGAGAACCCTTCACATTGCACATACACTGGATGTCATCTGCTCCAACTTCCTCACTCCCCCCACCACCACCACCACCCCGAGGCAATAGGGGTTAAGTGACTTGCCCAGGGTCACACAGCTAGTGAGTATCATGTGTCTGAGGCCACATTTGAACTCAGGTCCTCCTGACTCCAAGGCTGGAGCTCTACCCACTGCACCACCTAGCTGCCCCCACTTCCTCACTTTTCATCAGCAAACTGAGGCCTAGACTGGCAATGTGACTTAGTCAAGGTCCCCAAGAAAGGTCTCCAACACCTGGCTCACTTTCCTCTACACTCTGGCCAGGGACGGGGCTGTCAGACTCTGAGAAAGGAGCTGCGCTGCGCTAACTGAATCAAGCCTCTCAGACCAGCCGGGAGTAAAATCCTGTTCAGGACTGCAGCTGAGAAACGTGGCCCACCCCACCACAGTCTCCTCCAGCACACACAGCCCGAGTTACGCAAGCCAAGAATGCCCAAATGCGGCTACTCCTTGGATTTCAAAACCAACTGTTCTGTGACTCATTCTAAGAACAGACAATGAGTTTCTTCAGAATCAATGAGAAAGATCAAAATGTCCTTTGGTGACCCCCTGAAATAGTACCGAGGATGGAGGGAGCATCTTCGGTGACTGGGGAAGAATGACTCAGATGCTCCAATGCATGCCTGGTAAGCCTGCTCCCAGCCAGACTGGACATGTTTCCATCATTTCTGCTGCCCAGGCAGGCACCATCCGCACCCACTGATAGTTCTATGAGGTTTGTCCCAGCCCATCCCCCCAGCATTCCAGGCAGGCTGAGCTGTCTGTTACCCAGGTACAACTCCACCCAAAGAAGAATCCCAGAGGACAATGATAAGCTATCTGAACTCATTCCTCAATGTTCAGCAAACACCTACCCCCTCATACCCACCCCCTCTTCTGAATCCCGAGTCTCCATTGCTCCAACCCTATTTGCTATCCTTCACTGACCCATCCCTTATTCCCACCCATCCCCCAAATTCACTCCAAAGCCACCCCCCTCTTGCACTGTGATCTCTGGAATGCCTGCTTCATAGGCAACCAACTAGATTTCCTCCTAAACCTTTTCAATTTTCGCTCCCCTCTATTTTCTTGCACTCCCTGAAACCCGGCTGCACTTCCGCTCACACTGCCCGACCCCTGGCTGACTCCTGGCTTGGGGTGGGGAGTTGGATTGCTCCGTGCTCCCCATTGCTGCTCCAGGCTCTCCCTCAACCACCGTCGCTGAGTAACCTCTCCTCTGAGGTTCATGCAGTCCACATTTGCACGCAACCACGATTCCTAGGACTCTCTCCGTCCTTCCTCAATGAGCTCAGTGCCTGCCTCCATCCTTCTCTTCTCTCCAACACCTGATATGCCTATTTCCCATATTCCTCCATCCCCCCCCCCAGCTACACACAGCCATGGTCACACACTCCCATGATCTTGCCATCACCAATACATATTCCACCTCCATGTTCATGAACTGAAACTGTCCTTTACCTGACCACAACCTGTCGTCATTCTACTTCTCCCTCCATCTTACAACCCCAAACCATTTTCCTTGTCTTCACTGCGACCTCCAATCCCTCCACTCCTTAGTTCTTTCCCAGGCTATCACCCCACACAGTGGCCACACACTGGCTCCTCTGCATCATGACCCTTTGGTGAACCAGTCCAGCTCTACAATGTCCTCTTGAGCTTCCTGATCCTTTATCCTACCAAAGACCTTGCCCTGCCAAACCCAGCCTTGGATCGCCCCCACCATCTGCTGCCTGAGCTCCTACCCACATGCTACTGAGCAAAGCTGCCAAAAGCCCCACAAAATTGTGTTCCATGGGCCCCTGAGAGTTTATGTTACATAACCTTGACTACGCTCTTAAGAAAATCCTTCTGTACTTCTGGAATCAGCTCACTATCCCACGCCTTCCAATGGCTTTTCCAAATCTCTTCATCCCTCCTCAAGCCTCCCACAGCTTCCCCTCCCCCACAGCTGAGAACTGCCCCATATTTCACTGAAAAGAGAAGAGACCGTGAAGGGAAGGGCTTCCTGGTCTCTCCTCAAATCACATCACCAAGGTGCCTTCATCCAAAAGCTCCACCTTCACCCCTTCACATGAAGAGCTAAGTGGCCTTTCTCTCCACAGCATAAATTAACCCATTCCACCTCATCTTCTTCAAGAGACTGCTCCTCTCACATCCCTATTCTCTCATTAACCTCCAACCTCTCCCTGTCCACCAGCTGCTTCCCTACTGCCTGCAAACATACCATACCTCTGCCATCCTCCAAAAACCCGCTGTCTCGCCATCTCTCTCCTCCATCTGTGGCTAACGACCTTGAGACGGCCATCTACAATGGGTCCCTCCTCTCACTCTTTTCCTAATTCTCCTCAGTCTGGCATCTGCCCTCATCATTCCACCAAAACCGCTCTCTCCAAAGTGAGCATTTAACTGACAAATCCAGTGGTCTTTGTATACTGCTGCTCACCCTCTTCTCTAAAGCCTGAGCCCAAGAGGCCTGGGAGGAGCCAGGCTCCAGCCCAGTGCCCTCAGCATCATCCCGGGAAGCCTCGGGACCAAGCACTTCTGTAGGGGCTGCAGCCACAGCCACTGAAGACCCACAGAAGAGTGGTCTTGGCACCGGAGTCCTTGGCAGCAGAAAGGGACATCACTGGGAATGGCATGGAAGAAGCCCGACCATGTGTTTTCCCGTGGCACCCCAGGGACCTTCCTCGTGCCTGTATCAGAACAGTGGCTCCTTCCCCCTATAGTTGCCTTTCTATGTATGCTCAGCACTTAGTGCTTAATAAAAGTGTTTAATAAAAGCTAGCTGACTGACTATTCAAAGTGACGCTGTACAACACCCCAGGCACGAGGCTGTGGAAAAAGCCGGCAAGAACACAGCTCCCAAAGCTCGGGGTCTACCTGAGGAGACGAGGCCCAGGCACGAGCGACCTGAACCAAAAGGAGAGTGGGCAAGGGCATGATGGGAGAGCCCCCAAGTGCCCCAGGAGGTCAGAGGCGGCAAAAGCCACTGCCTGCTGGAGAGTGGGAAGAGCAAAGGATTCAGAGTACAAGGACCCGAGTTCAAATCCTACCTCAGACACTTGCTAGCTGTCAAACCCTGGGGAAGTCACTTAACCCTCTCTGGGCCTGTTCCAAACTCTCTAAAATGACCTCTAAGAACCCTTCCAGCTCTGAATCAAAGACTTTAAAAGTCAGAGTGAGGATGAGAAAAGAGAGAGAAAACCAAGTGTCTGAAGAAAACCACAGTAGGGAGACAACACTTGGGAAAGGTCTTTGGAGGGGGTGGCACTGGGGCCTCACAGGCAGACACGGAAACTCTCTTCATTCACAGCCCCACTCCGAGGATGTGGGGGGGCAGGCACACTGGCACTTACCCATCCCCTGGCAGACTTTTAGCTGTCACTGGGTAGATCATAAGGTCCTCCAGGCTGGAGGCAGAGGTTCCCTGAGAGATCATCACTGTGAAGTCCGGAAGGATTAAGTGACTTCCTCGGAATCAGCAAGCCAAGCGGCAGAGCTGAGAGGCAAACTCAGACCCTAGCTCTGAAACCGTTATTCTTTCACAACAACACACTAAAGATGGAGGGGCCGGACCCATGATTTCATCGGGGCAGGGAACTCCTAGTGAGGAACTACCCTTCACACATGCAGATCACTATCACTTGACAACTTTGGGAGCTAGGGCTCTTAATCTGGGGTCTGCAGATGCCCAAGGGGACCATGGGCTGATTTCAGGGAATCCATATAAATTTAGAAGAGGGAAAAAAAAACACATCCTTATTTTCAGTCCCCTTTGGTTTCCTTTATAATCCTGTGAATTTTATTTTACGCATGTTAAATGCACTGTTCTGTGAAAGGGCCCCTAGGTTTCACCAGATGCCACCAAAGGGATCCGTGACATAAACATGATTAAGAATCTCTCACTTAGGGTCCTGGAGTCAGGAGGACCCGAGTTCAAATCTAGCCTCAGGCACATGATACTAGCTGTGTGATCCTGGGCAAATCACATAATCCCAATTGCTTTGAGGAAAAAAAAAAAAAAAGAACCTCTCTCTTAGAGGGCCCTAGAGGTTAAGTGACTGAGGCTAGACCTCCTAGTCTTCCCCACTCAGGGGTCCATTCTTGGTCACTGAGCAGGCACTACCCCTCCTGTTTACATACGCGCATACACGCTCGCACTCCCATCGTGCACACACAAATGCACACAGAGTTCTAGAATTGGCACTCTGAGTTTCTTCAAAGTCCCCCTGTGCATACCGTCCAGTCCTAGTCATCCTTCCCAGCTGCCTTGCTGATAACCACTCAGCATTTATGAATGCATCTGGTTCTTCAAACTACGTGCTCATACTGGGGTGTGAGACTCTCCTAATCGGCTTCCTCTAGGAAAACAGAAGGAAAAAACCCATCACTTCTCTGCTTTCTCCTTTAAGTCAAAAAGTCCCAACCACGCCAGACCCTGGTGGAAATACTGGGCCACCATGGGAGACAGAGAAGTAAGAGTGAGCAGAAGGGGAGAAGAGAGATCTCCTGAGAAAGGAGACTGAGAAGCGGCATTGACAACTTTCACCCCAGAAGCAGGGAAAATCTCAGGCTGACAACTGTGTCACCAGCAAGTTATTAAAGTACTGTGCCAAGATGGCAGCTCATGGCTTGGCTGTCTAAAGCTCTCTCCACTCAAGTCCTCCTCCACATAGCTCCAAATTAATGTCAGCAAAGCACACTCGGGAAGGTTCTTTCAAGTATAAAAGAACCAAGTATGGGATCACTCCTGGGCTCTGCTGTCCGAGGGTCAGCCTAATGAGCTCTGAAGAAGACGCCAACCACCAGGTGGGCCACAAGGTCAACAGGGATCGAGTCCAGCATAATGGGGCAGCTAATGGGCCCTTAGGCTGCAGAAAGAGAGACCGAGCATCGACCATGAGAGAGGGGGTGAATCCCACTGACCTCTGCACTAGGCACTCCCCTTGAGGAAGGTCAGTCATAAGCTGGAGACCAC